ACAATGGTCTCCCCAGGTCAACACTACATATCATTGTTCATTTGGAATTAATTCATAGAGTAATAAAAGTAGTCTGAAGGAAAAAAAATCAAAGATGGATACATAGAAAATTATACAAGGAAATAAAAATAGGCGATGATAAAGTTTTTTAAAAAAGAAACAGGTGCCGGACAGAACATTTAATTATAGCGCTAGGCTTTGCCATAAATAATCTTAATATTCTCATGAAAATTTACCTTTATTTGACCCCAAATTTGGCATCAACTGACTGTGCTGGCACGATGAGATAGAAGAGTGGCGGAGCTTGCGGTGTTGTAAGAGTTAAATCTCCATTTACTATGAAGCGTTCTTAAAGGATAATATAAAAAGAATAGTAGGAAAAGTATATAATACAGAAACTTGAGCATATATGGCAGGAAAGCATTTAACATATTTAAAAGCAGTTCCCTTGGGGAATGAGTCTTTGATTAAAATGAAATATACTTTACCCTTTCATAAAATTAAGGATGTTGTAATTTATAGCTCCTGAGATTTGTGTTTGCTTAAAAAGACCATCCCCAAAATGACAAGAATCTCATATTATATTATTGGCACAGTTTACTTTTGTTTGTTTGTTTTTTGCTTTTGAGGACGATTAGCCCTGAGCTAACATCTGTGCCCATCTTCCTCTGCTTTGTATGTGGGACGCCTGCCACAGCATGGCTTGACAAGCAGTGTGTAGGTCTGCAACTGGGATCCGAACCAGCGAATTCTGGGCCACTGAAGTGGAACATGCGAACTTACCTGCTACACCACCAGGCCAGCCCCTACTTTTGTTTTTTAATGTTATCTCATTAATTTACTTGTAGTTTAATTTTGTATGATTTAGTATTGATGGTTTAAAAAAATTTTTATCTAACTCTATACTTTTACAGATTTGCTTTTTAACATTACTAATTTAAATAAACCTAGGTAGAAGTCTAATGGACTCATGCACTGTGTTCAAAATCTTAACTCCATTATGTTGTAATGAGGGAAAATTATAAAAATTTATTTTTTAATGTTTTAGACACCATTTTCTAGATGTCTTAGATATCACAAAAGCCATTGTCATCCCCAGATAGAATTTAGTCAAATTAACAGATATTATATACTTCCTTTTCTACTTTTCGTAGTTATCATAAAAGCTTGAATTTTTAAAACTTAAAGGGAATTTCATACAAGAGGAATTAGTAGTTCTTCCTTAAATTAAAGGCTTTATTATAGTTCTTAATGCACTACTATAAAAGTTCCTCATATTGATTAAGTGTTGGTAGAATAATAAAATCTTACTGAAATGAGTATTATTCATACTTTCTCTCTAGACCTCATCCAATCTCTGAGACTGGGGCATTTGACAGCATTGCTAAATTGTCATGTCATAGTCATTGATATCCAAGCATGAGTTGTGCTAAGAACAATCCTATGCTCTGTGAATTCTGACAACAGGAAATGCATACTAGTAGGAAAGCATTGGTGCTTTTCAATTCTGAAATTCCTGTTGTTAAAGGATACTTTACACTTCATTTTTTAATGCTCTGATGAATTTCTGAAATAAAAAATACCAAGTTACCTTGGCATTAGTCAAGACATTTACCAAGTTACCTAGGAATTAGTCAAGACCTTTGTTAACCTCTCTCCTAGTTTTCAAATATTGGTAATAACTACTGAGCTTTTGATGATGTTACTGAGATAAAGCACCAGCTTATAATTAGAATTACTAAGTTATTGGAGTCCCCTGAAATGATTCTCATTCCTACCCTTGATTTGAAATAAGTATTGTCTGCTCACATTTTCAGAAATTATCTCATCTTTCGTTAGTAATATCTGTGTAATATCTAGGCTCAAAAGAGGGGGGTTGTGGTGTGTGTACGTGAGTATTTTGTAGCCTCCAAGTAAACATTATTTTTTCCCTTTTCTAAATAATGAGTCAGATTCTGGAAACATTAGCTTCATCATACCACCTCCGGAATCACTATTAAAATATGGCGTCAAAGTACTAAGTTCTCAACAGTGCGACTAACTCACCAGTTCAACTAAAGAAATCATTTCTTGAATATCACATTTAACATGAAAGAATTTGGCCCAAAATATATTTCATACCTAGGGAAATTAAGTCAATTCAGGATTTATGTAAAAAACCTGTATCTCCATTGAGCCATAATATTCTCTGAGCTATTACCCAATCATTCACAGAGAGTAAACATGTAATAGACCTAAAAGCAAGTTAAAGAGAACTGATCAAATCTGATTTCATGTGACTGAACAATAAAAGGTCTAAGAGTATAGTAATATATTCATTCACAAAATTACAATTTATAAATATGAATATTATTTTCTCACTCTTTATCCCAAGTTATAGCTTAAAGTTAAAATGAAATATTTTACTTTTTCAGTTTTAAGTTCACATTCTTCTACTTTGTCATCTCTTGCTACAGACGTCTACCCAGGGTCTTTCTCTGAACGAAATTTGATTTGTTTGATGATAGTCAAATTGGAGCAACTGTTAAAGTTGTTCCTTTTAGCAGAACCTTAATTCTTTCTAATATCCCTTTATGGAAAATATTCTCAAACCTATTTATCATTGTCATTCTTCTTGAGATCCTGTTTTCATTTTTGGTGGCCAGAAGTGAAAAGTGTGGTCAATTTTAAGTAGTAAAGAAATACGTATTAAATGAATAAATAAAAAAAATTATTAGTGAAATGCTGGCCAATGAAAAACATTTTATTGGTGTATTTCTCATCTTTATTTAATCTACCCTTAATTTAAGCCTCATAAAATAATCATTAAACACGTTGGCCTTCTTCAAAATGGCCCAGTTAGCATACAGTTAATTATGGCTGCAAGCTCATGATTAAACAGGTATTGTTATCTCCATTTTACATGTCAGAAAACAGAGACTTCAAAAGATCAAGTGATTTGCTCAAATGACTTATGCATGACTGATGGTTTCCCAACCCTCTCCTCTACAATGCTGACAGGTCAAGGAAGCAGAGGTTCTTTCCAATCCACACACATGCATACAACATGTGAGCAAATCATGTACTCATCAAAGCCACTGTTTCTCACTTGTAAGACGGAGATGCCAATTTCTACCTCATAACGCAGGTAGAATAGTGCCTGTCACATGGGGAGAAAAATGAGATCCACTGTTAATATCACATTTGTGCTTCAGCAGTCCTTTCTTATTTCACTATGTTTTATTATGTGAGTTATTCCGTAAAATTTTTCCTAATAAATTACATTCTCTTCCATTAGGACCATTTTTTGTTTCTACTTCTCTTCTAACACAAAATAATATAGAATTATATAAGTGCTATTTCTTTATCCAAGTCATCAATGTGGCTATTGAATAGCTTATTTAGGACAAATCTCTTTCGCATTACTTGTTGCCATAGATGGTACCTGACCCCCAGAATTTGGTTCAAGATGAACTCAGGAGCATTTTTTCCCAACAGAATACATTCAAATAAGAGATGCGTTCCTCTTGTGAATTGTACTTTGGAGGTCCAAATAAGAGCATTATTACATTCAATATAGAAACTGTTTTCCTAGTTAAACTTGCCAAGCTGTTATTGAAGAAAATAATTATGTTGGTCTGGTAGAGTTTGCTTTTGAATATGTCTCTTTATTGTTTATTAGATTTTTTTGGTGAATATAGTGGATAAAGATGTACTGAACACATTTCTAAAGACTACTCTCTTCTAATCAGCAGAATCATCTTCAATGAGAGTAGAAAATTTCAAATGTTCCTTCATTAGTTATGCCCCACAACGAATATAAAATTTAGCCTTCATTTGAAGATATAGAAACCAGATTTTTGGAGGTGATTTCAGAAAATATTACTATATTCACAACAATATCTAATGGGAAGAAAAATATCATGTGTTCTTTAGAAGTGGATCGTGTCAATAAGATTAAAATTAGAAATAACTGTTCTCATGCTTCCCACTCGTCTGGTGTGACGCACCCAAAGTTCGGCCACAGTGAGGAGAGCCGCGTGCTACCGAGGCAAGAATGCTTGGGGGTTAGTTCATTTCCCAGACTGCTCACAGCCTACATTTTTCTTCCTAAGAATAAGCTAGGGCCAGACCAGCTCAGGACACAAAAGGCCTTTGCATTTTGGAGGAAAACGTGCACAATATATGTGTTAGCTCTACACTAATCTTTAAAGTCTGTGTAACAGCTCCACTTGGGTTATGGAGAGAATACTGTATTTCAAAAGTCTGTTTCAAAATCAACTGTCTTTCAATCAGCTCTTTTCTTTCACATATTTTTATTAAACTCTATAAAAGCAATGTCATAAGATAGGCATTTTTGGAAATATGAGGATAAATAAAGGCAAATTATTTTCCGTATGCATTGCTTCACATTTTACATAAATCTCTGACACTTTGCAATAAAATATTAAATTTTCTCTATTGTGACATCTTTTTCTTTAGGTTGTTCAATATAAACTATGCTTAAGTTACTACTGTTGTATTTTAAAATGTTTATATTTCAAGTTGGTTGATCTACCAAAAATAATGCAAAGTGGTATATTTAAAACAATATTGGGATTTCTTCTTTAATATGGTTATGAATATTAATTCTATTTTAAGTAAAATATTTAGATTTCAATTTCCTTTTATTCTGAGAGTTCTCTAGTATTTATAATTCTAAACATTTTCCTTAAAATGATAGCTAATAACATTTAAAGAGAAAAATTCAGACATTTACTTTACTGGTTAATGCATATATTTTTATATCACAATATTCTGTCTCTGACTTTTTTTTAGTCTAATAAACAAGAGTTTCAGGTGTGTGATATCAGGATTATTATTATAAAATGCTTTTTAGTAGAAGTGTGAATAACTTTATAAAGAGATTTCAAAAGAGGTAAGAACGCATACCCAATAAAAGGATACAGGTTTAAGTAATTGAAGTCAAGGGCAAGCATCATTACAATTTTAAAATTTTCTGTAAGGCATTTCCAAGATTTCTTAAAAAGCACATTTTCCTTTTTGCATAGAAAATTTACTTTCTAAATCTATTTGCTCTGAAGGAAATTCTCTCTTAAAAAGTAGAGGGAGATAGTGTTTGTTGACTATTTATTAATGTCAGGTGCTGTGGCAGGTGTTTCTCATACATTATTTCACTCAGTCTTTGAGGGAGTATTACATAGTTCTTTTGTAAGTAACATGCTCAAGGTCAGAGAGATAACAAATAGCAAAGCCTATCTTCTGATTTAACTGGAGGCATAGGGCATGCATAAAGGCTAATCAAAAGATATTGTATTTGTGGTGAATTGTCTGCAAAGACAGATGGCAGCAATATCTAGGATGTCCCTATAGAGCATATGGCTCTTTCCATAAAGCCATGGGTCAATTTTTTCTCCTCTTGAATGAATCCACATCCTCTGGGATGGCCTTGTGACCTCCTACGACCAGTAGAATCTGGAGGAAGGGGCAATGTGTGACTCCCCAGAAATCCTCTTGGAAGCCAACATCCACATGAAGAAACTCAAGCTTGACTACTGAGTATTGAGTGAATACTTGGAACAAGGGAGTGGCCCAGCCAATAACTGTCATTCCTCACTCCAGCTGAGGTGTCACATATGTGAGTGGGCTCATCTTGCACATTCTGGCCCCAGTGAGAGCTCTCTGTGGAACACAGCTGCAGGAGTAACTGCAGCCACCTCCATTTAAAGCAGAAAAACCAGCCCAGTGAACCCAGAAAACCCACAGAACTGTGATACACAATTTACAAGTGTTCTAGGCAGTTAGATATTTGGGTAATTCATTTTTCAGCAACAGATATCTTGAACATATCTTGGTACCTGGAAGTGAGGTGTCGCTATAACAAAAACCTAAAATAAGTGGCATCAGTTTAGAGGCTGCGGACAAGTAGATGCTGGAAGGGCAGTGAAGAGACGGTTCGTGTTGGCTGCAGGGACAGTGACAAGATAGTATTGGAGGCTGGAAAAAGGGAAACTCGTGTTATGAACTGGGTCAACAATCAGCAGTGTGTCACCTGTGAGCCATGTGTGATAAGCGATTGTAAGAGAAAAATAAGTGTAATAAGCGAAAAAGTTAACTATTCAATTTTCAAGTAGATTTTAGAGGAAATAGAGAAGGCAGTCTTGAAGTGAGAAATTGTGCCCAGGCAAAGATAAAATCAAATTGGCCATAAAACCTTTTTTTAACAACTAAGAAAGACTTAAGACAGGGTTTAATGGAAGTTTAAAAGTGGACCAAGAATGTAAAAATCCTGAGTATTGTGCATGACAACCTGACAAGCACAAAGGAGAGCTCCATCTCAAAAGGAATATAGATGTGGTTTGTGGGACATAGACGTAGTAAGTTCTGATAAGATTCATACAACTGTGAAAGGTTTAAAGAAAGTTCTACCAGGAAATTCACCACCAGGTTGAACTAAAATAAGCAGAGTTGAAAATGAAAGAGACCTCTGCCTCCCCATCATTCTATGTCTAGGATATGGGAGAAGAAAGCTCATTGACAGCCAACACGACCATGACCATTTCTTTTGAAGAAAGGATGACCAAGAGGGCAAGTAGGCATCAAGAAGGTAAAGCTGAAATCCATTTTACCCTCTTGGGAACCAGCTGGCCTTTAAGAAGCCTAGGCTGTATTACAGATTGAGGAGAAAGGAAGTTCATGGAGCGGAAGGCCCAGGATGCAGTCATTCTGGCCCATTCAGACATCAGAATGAAACCATCTTACACATTCCAGCCCCAGGTGAATTCCCAGCTGAATGCAACCTCAAGAGTGACACCAGCCAATATCACAGAACGGAAGGACCACCCTTTCAACATAGCCAACTCACTGAATCTCGAAGGGTAAGAAATCATTGTTTCAGCTGCTAAGTTTTGGCATAATTTGCTACACAGCAAGATATAACTGAAACAACATTTTTGTTCCCAATATTTAGTAGGGAAATCAGTGAGGCGGTTAAGTCTTAACCCATTACCTGTACAAACCAAATCCTACAACCCTGTCCACTTAACCTACTGCACCTCAATTTCCTCATTTGGTTTATGAAGATAACAATAGGTCCTATCACATAAGTCTTATGAAGGTTATTTGAGTTAACATATGTGAAGAACCTAGAATAATGCAAATCTTACAAATCTTACCTTGCCCCTTCAGTCTCTTTATAATACAGATCATATTGTTTGACGCCTCTGCCCAATTTTTGCCTTGTATCAAGAATTATGCCAAGTTTATTGTTACCACTCTCGGATGAAAACATTTTTCACACAACATACCACCGCTACCACATAGACAAAAAACACACGGGCACAGGTCTATCAATTACTTAAACAAATAGTTACTTTTACTCGAATACAATGGTTCTCTTAGCAACCACCCAGCACATTGTGTGGCTTACAACTGATTTTATTTTGCATTTATTCTCATTCAGCTTTACATGAAATGTATTCTGAAAATTCCGTTTGCTTTTCAGAAATTTAACACATTTCAGAATTAAAGTTTTAAATAATATTTAAATTGTCTTTACCATAACATGCAACATCCATTAGGCAAAAAAAAAAATAAGTTAAGAAATCCAACAATTCAAGTATTGAGTGTCTATAAGTTTCTTTCATTAATATTTCTAGTTAATGAAAATAATCTTACTGACATTTAAGAAAACGTGAAAAAAATTGGATATCAAGATTTTCTTATCTAAGGTCTTAATGTTGAATTCAATGTATTTTGTAAAATAATTACCGGTCTTGTAAGTGCCTGAGTTTAATCTCCAAGTTTTCATTTGCTTCTTTCTGTTCATCCAGAGATCTCTGGAGCTTACGGATCTGATTCAGGAAATTATCAAGCTGCAAAAAACAAAATGCTTGAGTTAAAATGATTGAAATGAGGGACTGTTTTTAGAAACAAGCTTTCTTTTTTGCATGACATTCTTATCAGTAGTTCAAGCATGAGTTTCTTCCGTATATACGCATGAGTATATGGGACTTTTCAATAGTAGAATCAATGCATATATTCAATAATAAAACAAACATCTACGTGGACTCTACAACATTTGACAAAATCTTTTCTAGCTTGGCATTCTTCTCCCATTCCTACCCTTGCCTCCTCTTCCTATGTAAGTGACTGTACTGGAACTTGTGTTTATTATTCCCATGATTGGAAAATACATAATTTTAGCATATATATATATGTATATATTTATATATTTAAACATAGCCTATGTGTATATATACATATATGCATGTACATATGCTAAGTGTATATATATTGATATAAATATAAATATTCTTTAAAATGTGGTGTTTCTTTTTAGTTGTTTTTAACTCAAACTTTAAAAAAAATGGGTATTGTGCTGTATATAATCTTCTGATGCTTGCTTTTCTATTTGAATTGCTAAGATTCATCCATAACAGTGTCTCACTCTAGCCTATGTGTTCTGCGTTTTGTTATAGCATTGCATGAATATGCCGTGAATTACATCACCCTCCTGTCCATGAGTATTAGATTGTTTGCAGCCTTGTGCTGCTCTGAACATTCTTACATGTGCTTTCCGATGCATATGTGCAAAGTTTTCTCTTGAGATATACCTAGGAGGAGAATTGCCATACTTTTCTAATGTTTTATTTTACAAAATAATGCCAAAATGTCTCCCAAAATCATTTACTAATTTACTTCCCAAAGGTGATTAGAAGGGATCTTGTTTGAGCGCATCTCCGCTGACACTTGATGCTGTGAGATAGTAAAACACGCCAATCCCTGATTAATAATGTTCAGTGTCTGTTTATATTTTTATTAGCTTAATGTTTTTGTTCTTTTGTGCATTTTCAGATCTCATTATTTTATTTGGAGCCTTTCCTTTTCTTTTCATCTGTACATTTATGTTATAAACTTGATATTAATCATTTGCCAATTATGTGTTCCCAGTATCTTTGGTAAATATGTATTAAGTTGATAACTTATTTTTCTATTTTATTTAAGATATCTTTAGATGAATAACAGTCATTTTATTAAGTAAAATTTATCAATATTTTCTCTTACAATTGGGGTGTATTAATAATGCTGAAAAAATACATCCTTAATCAAAGTTTAGGGAAATATTAATCTATATTTTCAACTAAAATTTGTTAAAGTTTTGCATCGTTCATTTAAGTCTTTGATCAAGCTGGAGTTAATTTTTATAAATAATGTGAGGTAGATATCCAATTTTATTTTTTCTCTATAGAAATACCTTTTAATAGGTGTAAATATTGAATAAACTTTTCCCTATTGATCTGACATATCAAATCTGTCATATATCAAAATTCTATATATTCTATGCATAAAGTTTCTTTTATAAAGTCTGATCGTAGGTCCTATTTTGGGGTGTAATTTATTTGGTCCTCCACAGCGTGAACTACTACAGCCTTCTTCATAAATCCTGATATGCAACAGGGCAAGCTCCCTTCCCCCAGCTCGTTTTCCTCAGAAGCATCAAGGATATTCTAGACTTTTCGTAATTTAGAAACAGCACAGTAAATTTCATGAAGAACTCTATTTGTATTTAGCCTGGAATTTCATTATTAATTCCATAGAATAATTTAAGTATATTTGACATCGTTTCAATATTTAATGTTTTGTCCATGAACATGATGTATTTTAAATATTTTTAGGTCATCCTTAAAGTCTCTCAATCATTATAATTTATTCACTAGAAGTTTTGTATAACATTTTATTAGATTTATTTCTAGTAATTTTATATTTATGACATTAAAAGGGATATTTAAATTTTCTAAATTTTGTTGTTTATGTATAGTAGTTAAATTGTCTTATTAATTGAACTATTATTTCACAAAACATATCTCACTGAACACTCTTTGCATTCCTAAAAATTAATCTGTATTTTCCTTTTTGTTCCTGACCGACATAATTATTTTAAAATAAATTCTATTTTATTTTGAAATGTGACTTTAAGCTTTGAAATCAAACAATTAGAGTTCGTATTACAGTTTTCTGATTCGTGTCTTACAGCAAGTTTCTTATCCACAGTGAGTCTCAAATTCCTAATCTTTAAAACGGGTGTAATGCTAGCACTTATTTTACAGGCTAGTTGAGAATATGAAGTAAGATAACACATAGAGAGCACACTGTGCGGTACTGGGTATGTAGTAAGTATCCAATATATTGGAACTAATTTAAACTTGTTTTATTAGAAAGCTAATTAGGATTGAAGTCTAGGGTAATTCTGAGGACTGCAATTGTGAGCAATGCTTGGCTACACAGTGATGGCATCGTCACGATTCGGAATGTTAATGCAGTAAAATGAGCACCTGCACCTAAAATGTGGAAGTCAATTTAAAGGCAGACTATTCAGCAAAGCAAAAGTCGAGAAAACAACATTTAACTTAACCTGAGGTGACGACTGGAATGTAACAGAAACGGTAGAAGCAGAAGTTACAAGTTTTCAAAAAGTGCAGCACACATGAGGATCTAAGCTTGTTGAAATGATATTTTCTCTCTATATTAGCAAGTTGGACTGTGCAAGCCTTGTGAGTTGGAGTAGCGCGAACCGGTCTGCAGGACACTCCCTCCACTGCTGGTTATAGACCTATCAAGTTTCTGGAAATGCAAGTTTAAACAATGGACCCCAGCACAGTGTGAACAAGCTGAGGTCTTGGTTTTGAACGGCCCTTCTTGGGAAAAAATATCTTCCTCAAATATTGTTAATTGTGTTCCTCCAATTTGACCAGTAAATATTTCTAAAGTGTTTTATTTAAGTTGCCAAACTGTCTTCTTCTTAGCCTGAGTGGAAGTTCCGTGGGGAAGGTTTATATAGTTTTACTGTCCTCTCGTCCTGACACTAATTTCTAGCAACTATATCCCTCCAAGTGAATATTTTAAAATCTTACAGAAATCTCCATGCATATGCAGCTTCAAGACAAAAATTTTGCTTCTCCAAGAAGATTGCTGCCCTATGGCACTATAGTAAAATAAAATTAATAATTTTAGTTTTTAATAAAACTGTAAGGATAATCAAATCTTCCTTATTATGTAGAAAGGCAAACTACTACTCAGGATGAAACCTGGTCCCAATTCTCTCATCCCTAGGCCAGTGTGATCCAAGTTAAATCACTTTAAATATGGCAAAGAATTATAGTGAGTTAAGTTGGTGACATTATTTTCCAGGGAGAAAAAAAGATATTTTTCTTCATGCCGTCATGGAGGAATACCATCCTATAAACCCTTTTCACCAATTATTTGTGCCCATGTAATGAACATTTTATTAAAGTATATTAAATGAACACCCCAATATTATTAATTTTATTTCTGAGTTTCAAATATTCAGATTTTTTGGTAATACCCACATTTTGTAGACATCCACAATTCTCAAGTCACATACACCTAATAGAATTACCGTTGTATACATAATCCAAGTTTACTTTCTTACCATAAAAGCTCTCCCTTATCAAACTTGTACAGGTCTTTTTTAGAGCCTACTTTTCTTAGTTTCCACTTTATAAAGATAAATGTTGAATTAGAAATATACAAATCTCCACTTCTCCAGTTCACATTTTTTCTGCATTTTTTACTACAGTATAACATGTATTTGTTAATATTAGGCTTATGTTGCATTTAATCATTATATATGACCTGAAGTTAATGGACAAAGACTGTTGTCTACTTTTGGATAACTATTATAAAAGTATTTATTAGAATGCAATCATATCCTATCCATTGTTTAAAAGGTCTTATAAAATTCCAGGAGGCTAAGTATACAGATTACTTTTTGCTTCTTTGGATACAGTCTTGCATATTTTCATTATTCGAGGAGGAATCAGAATGTTTAGCATTCATGCCTCATTAAAGATTAATTTTCAGAAAGATTTAAATTCTATTCTATATGATCAAAATAAAAATTACATTAAGAAAGCTAATAATAATGTTTAACTAATATTATTCTGGAACCTCAGATAATTTCACATTTTCATCTTTTTCCCTAAATATCTACTTGGAAAAAACTCACTTATTTGGCATTACAGTGCCAGTTCCAAGGACAGTTCCTAAATGATTTAATTTTGAATGAGAAATGTCATCTTTCAAATTTTTCTCTTCAATTTACAAATTTCCAGTTTCTACTCTAACATATTAGATTTTAATATATGAATACCAATATGAGATACATGATAACTACTTGGGAAGCTTAATCAATCACAGACAGGTATTACTAGATATTTAAGGAATATTTTGGTCCAACTATATGAAAAACAGTAGAGTTTGAATAGATTACAATACTTAAAATAAGTAAAAGATATTTACTATATTCAAAATTGGAGTAATTGGAATAAATTTTGTAATGTATTTTGGAAAAGCATACCAAAAGTCTTAACATTCAGGTTTTTTCATTCATCATGTATTGAAGTATCTTTAAAATAATAGCAGAAACACATAAAAACTCTTTTTGTACAAATATTTTTCATTACAATCATGAAAAAGTCAAACTGACCTGAATGGTTACTAAAAGTACTAAGTTTAATTATAACCCATCGCTCTAATAGAACGTTCTGTAGACATTAAAATGCTTATTTAGAGTTCATAACACTATTTTGTTACTTGGGTTGAGAAAAAAATTCTCACAAAATTCTAAGTAATGCATGACATTTCTTATATAAAATTACATATAAAGAAAAAACAAAAATAGTACCAAAATACTGGTGGACGTGTTTAGACCTTTTGATATTTTCTAAATCTGTGCCAAGCTTTCATAAAACTTACAATAAAAAATAAATGAACTTTCAAATGAACTTGAAGGATATTTTAAGCACAATGGAAAGCGCCCTAGGTGTGGTCTAGGCCTTCACAATCTCTCATCTGATTGCCCCCAAGACCTGGCTCAAATGCGATTCTGACCACATCATCTACTTGACAAAACCCTCAATAGCTCCCAGCACCTACAGATTGAATCTCAGGGGCCAGATTAGCGTGTAAGCTCTTCTCTAACTTCCTCCCTTGTAGTACCTCTACCAGGGCAATCCTGATCTTGTATTCTCCAGCAACGCTGAGCTTTTTGTAATTCTCAGCATACAACAGAGTGGGTTTGGTGGTGGTGATATTCATTTTACTTTTTTCTTCCTGCATACCTTTGCTCACATTCTATCTTCTCTCTTAAATGGATGGTCGCTCTACTCCTCAAATCCTTTAAAATAGGCTTCTTAAAATTTAACATTCTTATGAATCATTTTAGGATATTAGTGCAAATAACGATTCAGTTGGTCTCAAGGGTCTCAAGATTTTTGCGTTTTCTCAAGTTCCCAGGTGATGATTCGGAGCTGCTGGTCCTTGGAACACGCTGAGTAGAAGTCAGTCCAATGACCCTGGCCTGAATGATGTAGCTTTCCTCAGATACTCTGTTATACTGATTGCGCACCTTTATCCTCAAACTTATTGCACTAAATTATTTATAATAGTTGTTTTCATTCTCTGTCTCATAGACTGTTAGCCTCTAGATAGTGCTGTAGCCATATATTCTATTCACACATGTATGTATATGTATATATATGTGTGTGTAAATATATAAACTTTAATTTTCCCTGTCCTCACTAGTGCACCAGATCCTCTCCTCTTTCACCTGCTCAAGGACATCCATAGTTTCATCAATAGGCAATGCTCTCTCATATATCATCTGGTTTCTTTCTCTATTTGATCATCATTTTATCAAGGACTTTATATTGACCTCCCACTGCCTGGAACTCTCATTCAACAAATATCTGAATGATTAACTTTCTATAAAATCTTTCATATATTTACTCAAATCTGAAGCCAGACACCATATTTAATATTACAACCTGTCCCCAAAGCAAGAGCACTGATTTTTTTTCCCTAACAATTACATGGTTTATATGTTACTTGCCTCAGTCTCTTTCCACTGGAATGCAAATTCCATGCAGAAAGGATATTCATTTTATTCATGCATGTATTTCAAGTGCTTGGAATAACGTTTGCATGTTAAAAAAGGGAAAGATTAAATGGATGTTGGATAGGCTAAAGCAACAGATGCCCTTCCACTTTCGTTAAAAATCTTTGCCAAGAATGTAGGCTATAATTTGAAAATTTTTATATCAATAGTATCCTAAAACTCTTACATGCCAGATAAATCCAATTCGCTATTTACTGTGAGCACAGAGTAATTGCTTTGTTCCTGTTATTACTCTGGTAAGGCCCCAGGCGGCCTGGCTGAAATCTGGGTAGATTCCCCAAAATTTATGGTTCAAGAAAAATATATTCAAATATACTCAAACCATATCTTATAATCTGATCAAACTGGCAGTAAAACAAGGTCCTAGTTATCGTCTGAGCCTTAGTGATATGGAGACAATGATTTTCACTAAAAAGGAGTTGCAATTCCTGAAAATATTAATTTCTATCATTGAAAAGAAAGGAAAATAAAATCAAACAGAAAAGATTAGAAAGGGAGGCCTGTTAGATGCTGCTGATAACAGCACATAAATCCCCTTTTTTGTATTATAAATCTTTATCTAACTCTAAATGGAGACTGTTGATAATCAGTTTTGATACATCTTTCCATTAGCAATTGAACAGGACCCATTCCTGTCACAGAAATTGAAGCGACATGTTGAGCGTCGGGTATCCTGGCAAGTCCTTCTGGCCAATCTGCTCCAACTCTGCTCCAGGCATCTACAGTGGGGTGTCATTATAATCTCTCCAGCTTGGAATTTGATTAAGGTAATGAGCAATTATGGCACAAATTCAGATAAGTGTCCTGTTCACAAATTCCCTAAGCCCAACGCATGTGATGCAGAGCCTTTGTAAGGAATGAGTGGGCGTGACAACTTGCTGACTTCAAATAATTCACAGACTAAATTTTGCACAAATACTTATAATTGGAACTGAAATATTATGAACCATTTTATTAAGGATTATACTCTGGTAAGCTCTTCACTCAAAAAAACAGTCAGCAAATTCAATAGGAACATTTTACTAAAACGTCTTGGTGATCTCTGATGGAAAGTGGTTGCCTTTTGAGAAATTTGCTAAGTATATGGCTTGTGTTACATGAGTCTACTTATTTTTCAATGTCAGAATCAATTTCAAGTCTTTAAATATGACATCTTATTATTACCTATATGGAAATTATTGGATGAGTTAAATTCAGTGATTCCAAGTAATTATTACTAAGGTTTTCAAAAATAAGACATGATCTCATTTTAACAGAATATAAAATGTTCTGTGGTCTTGTGACCCATGATGATTTACCAGAATTATTTATTAGTTTCATTACTGGCTTTCTTTTTTTATACATACATCATTGAATTTCATAAAACTCTCAAGCTTTCATGAAACTGGCTACAAAATTTCTACCAAGTACTTTCCATTTAAAGTAAGTAGCTTCCTTGTCTACTGGACAATTGTTAAAATGTTTAAGAAATGTTAAACAGCTAGCATTGGATAAATGTATTGCTGAAATAATTTATTGACCTTTGAGGTCTATAAACTAACTTTCCTAATAAACTAAGGTAACAATGCAGTTGTTGTAGATATAGGGTTAATGAAACTAATATGAGTATATCTCAGCTGAATAATTCAATCTGTGAATTAAATTCTATACAGCAAAATGTATAATGTTTGCTTATAAGTGAATTGGTTTGAGTAATTTTATATAGAATGACACAAGGTTCAGATTTGAGAGATTCTCATTTTAAGGAACTATATTTTTGGAAACCTGGAGACAGTATTCTCTAAATGGACCTTACAGTGAATGGAATGATGAAAATTACATTCCCAATGATTTTAATCAATTATTTTCCCAAAAGTTTTATTGTCATCTTAGTGACAAAAAGCCAGAATAACTTTCCAAGTGGCTGTGCTTTACTGACGGTGTTTCTTTCTCTTTGAGAACACATGTAGGTAAATCTGTGGTAAAGCTCAACATTCTTAACCAAAATAAATTAAGTATGAAAACAAGAATTAGAAAAGAAAAACAAATTTGGAAAACGAACACTTCCTGATTTTAATACTTACTCAAAAGCTATAATAATCAAGAGAATATTTTTTTGGCAGAGAATAGACATTTAGGTTAATGGAATAAAATTCTGTCCAGACTCCAGAAAGAAACTCCTACATTTGTGGTCAACTGGATATTGACACGGGTGCCAAGATATTTCAATGGGGAAAGAATGATTTTTTCAACAATTAGTTGTGGGACAACTATATATCCATAAGCAAGAGACTGAAGTTGAACTCCTACCTCACCTCATTTATAAAAATTAACTCAAAATGGATCATAGACCTAAATATAAGAGCTAAAACTATAAAACTCTTAGAATAAAACATGGAGGTAAATCTTCATGGCAATCAGTTAGGTAACGTATTTTATATACAACACCAAAAGCACAAGCAGCAAAAGAAAAAAACATAAATTGGCTTGCATCAGAATTATTTCAAAAAGTTTTAAGCCTCAAATAAAACTATCAAGAAGTTGAAATGACAATCTACATAATGAGAAAAAACATTTGCAAACCACGTATCTTAGAAGTTTTGTGTATCCAGAATATATAAAAAAAACACAACTCAATAACAAAACAACAAATAACCCAATTTAAAAAATGGGCAAAGGATCAGAATAAATATTTTACCCCAAGAAAGTATACTATTAGCCAATTAGTACATAAAAACATGATCGGTATCATAGTCACTAGGGTATTTCAAATCAAAACCACAATGAGACATCACTTCACCTCCCTGAGGATGGATATTATCTAGTGTTGGTGAAAATGTGGAGAAATTGGAACCCTTGAACATGGCTTATAATAATGTAAAATAGTGCAGCCACTTTAGGAAATAGTTTGGTGGCCCTTAAAGTGTAAACATAGAGTTACCATATGATCCAGGAATTCCAAGGGAAATAAAAACACAATCTACAGGAAAACTTGTACATGAATGTTCATAATAGCATGATTCATAATAGACAAAAAGTGGAAACAACCCAAATACCCATCAACTGAAGAGTGAAGAAAAATGTGGTTACATACAATGGAATGTTATTTGGCCATGAAAAGAATGAAAAATTGATCCGTGCTACAATGTAGATAAACCTTGAAAACAGTATACTAAGTGAAAGAACCCAGTCACAAAAAGTCATACATTCTATGATTCCATTTATATGAAATGTCCAAATTAGGTAAATCTATAGGGACAGAGAGTAGATTAGTGATTGCCAAGGGCCTGGGAGTAAAGGGAGAATGGGGAATGACTGCTCATTGATATGTGCTTTCTTTGGAGGATGATGAAAATGCTTTAAAATCAGACTGTAGTTGTTGCACAACACTAAGATTTTACTAAAAACTGTTGAATTGAACAGTTTAAATGGGTGAATTTTAAGGTATGTGAATTATATCTCAAAGCTGTTAAAATAAACAAATAATAAAAACAAATATGACATGCATTTCGAGTTGTTATAATACTTATATATTAAGCCAAATCAAAATTAATTCAAGGGTATCTACAAAAGAATTAAGTCAATTGAATATATGCAGTAATTTCAAAGTTCTTAAGATTATCTTAAGTAATTCCATCACTTGAATCTAGACTACTTCACTGCTTTATATCTATATAAAGAATTTTTAAAGTATTCTTTAAGAATTGGATGGATAAATGGATATTGATGTCTTAATAAGTCTAAAAAGTATTGATATTGCTTTAAAATGTATTAACCTAGATAATCTTCTGATTATTGATATTTATATACAAAGCATTCTATTAAACAGTTTATTCCAGTTCAGAGGTATTTTTCTTTTTCTTTCTTTTATTTTCAATAAATTAAAACAGCATCATGGCCAGTGGGAACTAAGCACTTGACATCCAACAATGTTGATGATTCTTAATTTATACCCTGAAGGACTAATACTGAGAATTCGTTCAGGGTACCATAGCAACTGCAGAATCAAAGCAGTGATATCATGTGGCAAATTTGTAGCTGAGAACACTTCAGGATTCCATTGGATCACCTGGGGCAGCAATATTACAAGTGTTTATGGTGTGGCATCTGATAAGGGACACTTAATTGGTGTTAATTTTATCCAAATTAAAGACAACTATAGAGCCTCTCTTTCTATGATGAGTAGAATATTCTCATCAAGATGTGTGACAAAATGTTAAGGGTGTTTAATTTGTAACCAGTATCTCACAATGGTCTTAATATGGATCTTTATTAAAACTGACTTCAAGTTGCATTAACCTGAGTAACATGCTAAAGAGTTTGCACAGAGAATAACAATATTGTCTAACATCAAAGGAAGACAAAACATTGTCAAATAATATTAATATTAATTTTCATGACAACAGCCCTAGTATTTGATCATCTCATGATATACATATTTCCCACTAGTCTCTTTGAGAATCTAAATAGAAGAGAATGCTAATAAAGTACCCAGGGAACAAACATTCCTTCCTTCCTTATTTTATTTTACTCAATTAACATACAACAGATGTCTGCTTTCAGTAGGAAGCTTTTTAAGAGCACTGGGCTATGTGCCTCTTTGCCTTTGGATATTGGAATGAATTCCAGCATCATGAAACTCAATGAAAGAAATGAAATTGCTATTTTTGTCCCAACTTTCAATCTGTTATCACATGTTATGAACCACTGGGATTAATCTTCATCTAATGTTGAATATAGGTATAAAAATCCAGTTATTCCTCCTTATTATTTTAACCAAAAGAAAAGGAAATTGCAGAAACATCAGTTATAGAAATGCAAGGATGGAATGTGATTAAAATTATAAAACTCTTTAAAAGAACTGAAAAAGTAAGAACAAAAGATTCAGTACAAAACTACTCAGTTTTACTTATTATAACATGATTTGGAAACTCTTCCTCATGGCTCTGTACTCTAGCAATTGAGCCCAGATATTATGACAGTGCCTGCCAGCCCACAGGCCCTCTACACAGGTGACAATCTACTACTGAGTCAGAGAAGTCAGTTTCCACAAAGATGTGCTGAAACTTTCATAAAACACAGGAAATGGCAGTTTTATTAAGAGCCTCATGACCTGCATCCAGAAAAAAAAAATGAAAGGAAAACAAATTAGGACCTACTGAAATATTTAAAAACCAGTAAGTACTCTTGGTAATTGATTACAACTAAGACTCAAGCTATTATTAAAACAAAAAATTAGATATCCAAACTAGAAAGAAAAGCAATGTTATTTCAAAATAAAATTCATGAAAAAAATAAGAAAAGAAAAAAAAGTCTTCAAAAGGTGTTTTATAAATACACAGACTATGAGAATTAATACAGTAAGAAATACAAATTGTGTGACAGAGAAATAAGTGATATTGTGATTGGCTTAAAACTCAAAGGATTAATGCTTAATTTCCCACAGATAAAAGGGAAAACATTATAATCTAATATTTGACTTTTTTTTAATTTAGAAGAGAACCCCTAGCTCTCTAAAGAGTACTACAATGATAAGAAGGTTAATATATGATAAACAAGAAGAATTGTTTTCCTCTACAATATAAATATTTGTCTAGATTACAATTTACAAAAATGACAAAAACATATGCAGGGGAAATTACTGATCCTGCAACTTCTTCATAAATGAAGACCTTTGGTTCATAGGCACCTAAAACCATTTATATGGGTTTCTGTCCTCGGATAGAAAATAAGACAAAAAAACCCTAAATCCTTGACTAAGATTCAAACAGAAAACCTTTCAACAAAA